GTTGCATGTTATTATCAGATGCATGGTGGCTATACCTGAGCTCTTATTGTTCTTATTTGTAACACATTATAAAGTTGCAAGTTATTATCAGATGTATGGTGGCTATACCCGAGCTCTTATTGTTCTTATTTGTAACACATTATAATGTTGCATGTTATTATCAGATGCATGGTGGCTATACCTGAGCTCTTATTGTTCTTATTTGTAACACATTATAAAGTTGCAAGTTATTATCAGATGCATGGTGGCTATACCTGAGCTCTTATTGTTCTTATTTGTAACACATTATAAAGTTGCATGTTATTATCCGATGCATGGTGGCTATACCTGATCTTATTGTTCTTATTTGTAACTTATAAAAGTTGCATGTTATCAGATGCATGTCTTATTGTTCTTATTTGTAACACATTATAAAGTTGCATGTTATTATCCGATGCATGGTGGCTATACCTGAGCTCTTATTGTTCTTATTTGTAACACATTATAAAGTTGCATGTTATTATCAGATGCATGGTGGCTATACCTGAGCTCTTATTGTTCTTATTTGTAACACATTATAAAGTTGCATGTTATTATCAGATGCATGGTGGCTATACCTGAGCTCTTATTGTTCTTATTTGTAACACATTATAATGTTGCATGTTATCAGATGCATGGTGGCTATACCTGAGCTCTTATTGTTCTTATTTGTAACACATTATAAAGTTGCATGTTATTATCAGATGCATGTTGGCTATACCTGAGCTCTTATTGTTCTTATTTGCAACACATTATAAAGTTGCATGTTATTATCAGATGCATGTTGGCTATACCTGAGCTCTTATTGTTCTTATTTGTAACACATTATAAAGTTGCATGTTATTATCAGATGCATGTTGGCTATTACCTTATTTGAGCTCTTATTGTTCTTATTTGTAACACATTATAAAGTTGCATGTTATTATCAGATGCATGTTGGCTATACCTGAGCTCTTATTGTTCTTATTTGTAACACATTATAAAGTTGCATGTTATTATCAGATGCATGTTGGCTATACCTGAGCTCTTATTGTTCTTATTTGTAACACATTATAAAGTTGCATGTTATTATCAGATGCATGGTGGCTATACCTGAGCTCTTATTGTTCTTATTTGTAACACATTATAAAGTTGCATGTTATTATCAGATGCATGGTGGCTATACCTGAGCTCTTATTGTTCTTATTTGTAAAACATTATAAAGTTGCATGTTATTATCAGATGCATGTTGGCTATACCTGAGCTCTTATTGTTCTTATTTGTAACACATCATAAAGTTGCATGTTATTATCAGATGCATGTTGGCTATACCTGAGCTCTTATTGTTCTTATTTGTAACACATTATAAAGTTGCATGTTATTATCAGATGCATGTTGGCTATACCTGAGCTCTTATTGTTCTTATTTGTAACACATTTTAAAGTTGCATGTTATTATCAGATGCATGGTGGCTATACCTGAGCTCTTATTGTTCTTATTTGTAAAACATTATAATGCTGCATGTTATTATCAGATGCATCGTGGCTATACCTGAGCTCTTATTGTTCTTATTTGTAACACATTTTAAAGTTGCATGTTATTATCAGATGCATGGTGGCTATACCTGAGCTCTTATTGTTCTTATTTGTAACACATTATAATGCTGCATGTTATTATCAGATGCATCGTGGCTATACCTGAGCTCTTATTGTTCTTATTTGTAACACATTATAAAGTTGCATGTTATTATCAGATGCATGTTGGCTATACCTGAGCTCTTATTGTTCTTATTTGTAACACATTATAAAGTTGCATGTTATTATCAGATGCATGTTGGCTATACCTGAGCTCTTATTGTTCTTATTTGTAACACATTATAAAGTTGCATGTTATTATCAGATGCATGGTGGCTATACCTGAGCTCTTATTGTTCTTATTTGTAACACATTATAAAGTTGCATGTTATTATCAGATGCATGTTGGCTATACCTGAGCTCTTATTGTTCTTATTTGTAAAACATTATAAAGTTGCATGTTATTATCAGATGCATGGTGGCTATACCTGAGCTCTTATTTGTAACTTATTGTTCTTATTTGTAACACATTATAAAGTTGCATGTTATTATCAGATGCATGGTGGCTATACCTGAGCTCTTATTGTTCTTATTTGTAACACATTATAAAGTTGCATGTTATTATCAGATGCATGTTGGCTATACCTGAGCTCTTATTGTTCTTATTTGTAACACATTATAAAGTTGCATGTTATTATCAGATGCATGTTGGCTATACCTGACTTCTTATTGTTCTTATTTGTAACACATTATAAAGTTGCATGTTATTATCAGATGCATGTTGGCTATACCTGAGCTGTTATTGTTCTTATTTGTAACACATTATAAAGTTGCATGTTATTATCAGATGCATGGTGGCTATACCTGAGCTCCCATTGTCTTACTGCTACTAACTTAAAAAATGAATGGTATGTCAAACATCTGTTGGCAGCACTACGTTCTTCACTTTTATTACTTTTAAAAAGCGATGATTTCAATGTTAATAAGACCCAAACATAAGGAAATGGATTTATATATTTTCTTTATTAATTCTTTACTAGTGTAATGGATTGTGGCTCCGATTGAAGAATTGGAGAGCGATGTTCGAATTTTAGTTGAGTTTATTACATTCACTTACATGCTAATTCCATTTGGAAATGTACGAATCCATCTCTTCTCTCCTCCAACCGCGGACAAATAGCAGGGTAGACTATAGCCTTGCGTAGCAACCTGTTCAGGCGAAGGACAACTTTAAATCTAAAACTCTATGTAGCTCTGGCGAAGGACATACTATGCAACTAAAGAATGGATCGTTTGCATTGAAGAAATTATTATATACTATTTACATATTTGATTAAACAAAAAGCTAGTTATTTATAAAAAGGTAAATAAATTTTTGCAAATGATAAATAATAAATATCACATTGTATTTGGTTCATTTTTTTTTATGATGTTATAAATAAACATTGGCGTGGGAGTCAAAAGTGTACGGTATTAGTATCAGTAAAGGAATAGCTGTGCTTTTGACACGCCATGTTTTAAAAAGTCATTAATTCATTATGCGAACTTATTTGATATAAAATGTCTTTTTAGAAAAATAAGACATTTCTGGAAGTAAATTTAATTTTACATATAGTCTGACAAGTTAATGTAATGTAATCTCCATGCACAATAGGAATAAGATAAGTGAACACTTCATTTTATTTATCACTTTTACT